GCAAACTATAGGAATTCTGAACTGAAGCTTTTATTTAATCAACGGGGTACACTGCTATCGTTCCATTGTTCAGGTCTTATTTCACGATTTGATAGAAATGATTGGATTAAATACAACAATCGTTATAATACCATATCTCCGAAGTTTATATAGAAGACCAGCATACCAAACCCTGTCAGATGCCTTTGAGATATCTAGGACCACAGCATGAGATTCGCCATTATTATTAAGAACGTGATATATATATATATATATATATATATATATATATATATATATATATATATATATATATATATATTATATATAAAGTTTCCATAAAGTGCGTGTGCACTTTAAAAATAATAACTTTATTTGTATTTGCGATAGAAATAATTTGTAAAAAAAGGATTAGAAAGAAGTAAATCTATATTTTTAAGGTTTTATTGAAATTTTATTTAAGTTTCTACATGTCCTCCATCATTAGCAATACAAAGGGTAATACGATTTTGTAGTTCATGGAAAACATTTGCCAACTGATTTACAGTAATGCCTGAAATAACATTAGTTATTTTAGCTATAGTTAAAACTAGGCACATTAAACTTTATAACATTTTTTACAGATTATTTCTATCGCAAATACAAATAAATTTATAATTTTTAAAATGCACACGAACTTTATGGACACCCTGTATTCAGTGATTGCCTGGTGGTAGACCGGGCGAAACGGAATCCATATTGTTTGTCAGAGTCGTGAGAGGTAAGTTGCTTAACCACTTCAGTATTGGTTAATGCCTCGAAAACGTTGTCGAAAAGGGTTGGTAGAATAATAGGACGATAGTTAGAAGGGTCAGAAGGTTCTCCAGAGTTCTTAAAAACAGGAAGTACAGGATTTCCATCAAGTTAGAGGAAATAGTTGTAGAGTTTGAAGAGAACTGGGGCCAGTTTGGTAGCACATTTAGGACGTCGGCTGGTACCCCGTCTCCTCCATTTATTGAAAAGCTATAGCCATTGTCAGTTATGACGAGGAAAGCATTATAATAGTTTATGATTGTAACTTTTTATATTACAAAATGATGTGAGCATATTTAAGATCTCTCCCAAAGCAAATGGGACACGGTATTAGCAAAGCTCATCTGTCACTATTCGTCTAATAATATAGACGTCTTGTCTGCCCAAACTTGGGCTGAAATGTCAGTTGAAGTTAATCCATCAGAGTAGGCAACAAAGAATTGTGATGGTCTCAGACGGTTCTCAAATTGCTTGGATTCTTTAAATGGAATTGGCAGATTTAGGTGGAGAGAATTATCTGATCTCGGCCTAAAATTATTTGTCCGCTTGATTTGTATCTCCACCCAGAGAAACCATTGGTAGATTGAAGAAAGAAAGAAAGGAAGAAACAAAGAAAGAAAGAAACAGAGAAAAAGCGAGAACGAAAGAAAGAAACCAAGTAACAAAGAAAGAAAGAGAGGAAAAGAGAGAACAAAAGAAAGTAATGAAAAAAAGAAAGAAAGAAAGAAAAGACAGAAACTAAAGAAAGAAAATGAAAAGAAAAACGAAAGAAAGAAAGAAGAGGAAATAAAGAAAAATGAAAAGGTCAAATATAAATAAAAGAAATAAGGCAAAGAAAGACGAAAGAAATAAAGAAAAAAATTAAAGAAAAAGAAAAACAGAGAAATAAAAGAAAAGGAAAAGGGAAAACGAAGAGAGAAAAGAAAAGGAGACAGACAAAGGAAACACAGAAAAAAATAAACAAAAAAAGAAAAGAAAAAGAAAAACAAAGATGGAAGGAAAGATAAAAGAGCATAAAGACAATTAAAAAGAAAGTGAAAAAAAGAGAGAGAAAAAGAAAGAGAAAGAAAAATAAAAAAAAAATCGAATTTCTCGACTGAAAAATATTTAAAATTGAGATCAATTTCTATTGGGTTGGTGCATAATTATCAGGCGTTTTTGTGGGCGAATTATTTGTTAATAAAAATTAGTTTTGTTTATTTTTTTCAATAAAAATATTTTATTTTCAGTTTATAAAAATGCGTGTTGACAATCATACGCCCCGGAATAATCATTTAAACATGTTATTGTTGAATTGTTATGTTTCTTTTTTCATAATAAATATTGTTAAAAAACGCCTGATAATTATGCACCAACCCAATACAATTGTTTTGTATTCTACTAACCGACTTTCCTGTCTTATAGTGATTTTCCAAGCTTAGATGTGGCACAGGGCCGATAGTAGGGGTACCCAACGAGGATCGAACACATTAGTCAGTCGTAATAAGAGACAAGCTTGCTAACCATTCCACCGTCTCGAGGTACCCCTTTCCAGTCTTATATATATAGGGTAAACCAGAGTTCTATTAACGAACCATACCGACTTGGCTGTTCTTATTAATCATCTTTCATCTTGAAACTCTAACACGAAGATAACAATCTCTAAGAGTTATTTTTTAGGAAATTATATACATAGCAGTATGATCAAAAGAACCAAAACCCAAATTTGGCATGAGAATCATATTCTAGAAGACTGTATACCACCAGTTTCTTAATGAGCAACCTGGAGTTGAACATCAACACCAAATAGCAGAATCAACCCCACTATCTTCACGTCGAAACATTTTGATTAATTCGCGGCGTACAAAGCAATTTATACACAGTATAGATTGAAATATGTATCTGCGGTCTTAGTAATAAAACGCTTACCACTGCACCGCTACTGGTACATTTTTCCATTTTTTTCTGAGAATAGCTTAGTCTGGCACAAGGCCAAAATAAATGGATAGCCGTCAAGATGGAATTTATCATGCAAATTGGTTGGCGAGACGATCTTGCTAAGTCACACTGTACGAAGCGCCATTTTACTAAGTTTAGGCTAGTAGGACACAAAGTTAAAAGTGTGGAGCATCCATTGAAATTTGCGCCTCGTCGCCTGTCGACCTGTACAACCGTTAGTAGTCGTTAATGGTCGACGAGGTGATCTTGATAATCAATGCGTCTGGCGGTACTCACTATGAGAGCTTTAAATTACTTTAATGAAGAAAGCCATGTTTTTAACTGGATTCGAACTCGCTTTTACTGAATGAATACGAAATGAGGAGAAACCATTTAGTCTTGTGAACTAGAGCCTCGCTATCGCCCTGCTTAAAGGCAGGAAAGTTGGTTAGTAGAATAAACAAAATGGCAGAACTAGTCTAATGATATGTTAGGAATCTTTCAATATCAATTCTTTCAATTTTTTTTATTACAGAACGTCGAAAATGTTTTTTTTTCTTTCTTTTTACACTTTTTTTTTTCATTCTTTCTGTTTCTCTCTTTGTTTTATTTCTCTGTGTTACATTTTTCTTTATTTTTATTTCTTTACTTTCTTTTGCCTTTTTCATGTCTCTTTTTCTTTATTTTCTACTTTTTTGTTTTCATTTTCTTTTCTTTTATTTCTTTCATTCTTTTCTTTCTTTCTTTCTTTTCTTTCTTTCTTTTTCCACTGATTTCTTTCCCATGTCTTTTCTCCATTCACTTTCGTTTTCTTTTCTTTCTTTCTTTCTTTCTTTCTTTCTTTCTTTCTTTTCTTTTTTCCACCTTTATTCATTTCTTTTTTTGCCATCTTCGTTTGTTTTGTTTGTTTCTTTCTTTCTCTCTTGCATTCATTCTTTTTCCGCTGACTTTCTTTCCCATGTCTTTTCTCCATTCACTTTCGTTTTCTTTCTTTCTTTCTTTCTTTCTTTCTTTCTTTCTTTCTTTCTTTCTTTCTTTCTTTCTTCAATCTACCAATGGCCTGTTTGAGTGGAGATCCGAATCAAGCGGACAAATAATTTTAACCCGAGATCAGATAATTCATTCCACATAAATCTGCCAATTCCATTTAAAGAATCCATGCAATTCGAGAACTCTCTGAGACCATCACAATTCTTTGTCGATGATCGCCTATTTAGGGGGGGATTAACTGCAACCTTTTATTTCTCAACTCTCAGCCAAGACGTCGTTATGGTTATATCATGTATGAATGATCTTTTACAATCCTTGTTGAGTGCAAATAACCGTTGCAATATATAGGTGCTGACACAGGTATGTGGGTATCATGTTCAAACGTTACTCATTAGAGGATTATAAGGATAGACAGTAGTTTTGAAGCCGTGGATGAGCAATTTAGTTACAGCGTGTCTGTTACTTAACAGCCGCAAGTCCTCATAATAAAAAGCATGGCGTCCCTTTCTGTATCTGAACGTAAAAGGGCTTACGGCCATATCACGTCGAAACATTGGTTCTCGTGCAATCACCGAAGTTAAGCAACATCAACCCTGGTGAGGGTAGTATCGCTTATGGCTATATCTGGTTGAAACACCGGCGCTCGTACGAGCATCGAAGTTAAGCAACATCAACCCTTGTCAGTACCTAGATGGGTGACCGTTTGGGAATACCAGTCTCTGTAAGTTTGGATGTGCGAGTAGTATCGCTTATGGCTATATCAGGTTGAAACACCGGCTCTCGTACGATCACCGAAGTTAAGCAATGTCGAACCTGGTCAGTACCTAGATGGGTGACCCTTTCGGAATACCAGGTGCTATAAGTTTAGGTTGTGCGGTTAGTGCAATGATGATCTTTTTCTGAAGTTTAATGAAGTATCATTATCCTGTTACACGACAATGCCTAGAATACGTCGATTGCAACCCTTGCAGAGTAGTGAGATATCCCCAATGAGCCACCGACTAAGTAAATGCTTCCAGACTCAAATAAAACAATCAATATTTACCTATTACCAAACCAAGTAAACGTTTACACTCAAATATAATTAAAAAAAATGATTGATTACAATTTTAACCAAACAATGGTAGACAGATCATAAAATCAACCAACCCGATCCTAGATCATTAATTTTATTGTATGTAAGAAAGAACTGTGAATTTTTAAATCATTAAAAATAAAAACATCTAAAACCCATGCCATAAAAAATGGCGGCGATATTTAAATAATTTGCCAATTGTGTTAGTTATACTTTCTGAATGAGTAATCTAGAATTTTTGGTCGGCTTACGGCCATATCACGTTGAAACATCGGCTCTCGTTCGATCAGCGAAGTTAAGCAACGTCGACCCTGGTCAGTACCTAGATGGGTGAGTGTTTCGGAATACCAGGTTCTGTAAGTTTGGATGTGCAGGCAGTATCGCTTGTGGCTATATCAAGTTGAAACATCGGCTCTCGTACGATTGCCGAAGTTAAGCAACATCGACCCTGCTCAGTACCTAGATGGGTGACCGTTTCGGAATACCAGGTTCTGTAAGTTTGGATGTGCGGGTAGTATCGCTTATGGCTATATCAGGTTGAAACACCGTTTCTCGTGCGATCACCGAAGTTAAGCGACGTCGACCCTAGTCAGTACCTAGATGGGTGACCGTTTGGGAATACCAGGTTCTGTAAGTTTGGATATGCAGGCAGTATCGCTTGCGGCTATATCACGTTGAATCACCGGCTGTCGTACGAGCATCGAAGTTAAGCAACATAGAACCTGGTCAGTATCTAGATGGAATACCAGGTGCTGTAACCTTGGATGTGAAATGACTGCAAGTCTTCAGCCGCAGTCAACACAAGACAGTACAAATAATCGTCAGTGAACCTTTTAGAAGATACGACTATTCAAATTATTAACGATAAATAAATAAATAAATAAATAAATAAAAAAATATATATATATATATATATATATATATATATATATATATATATATATATATATATATATTATATTTAAAATATGTTTTTTTCCGCTACACAGTTCTAACCATGTTTCAAAAATAGAAGCTAAAAGCCCCGAATTTAATTTTGCAATTAAATTAAAAGCATTAGTTCCATTTCATCCTCAAGCGAATTTTGGAGTAACTTTTAAAAATTACTGTGTTTTAAAGACACAGCTAAAATCACGTTTCCATGGTTACAGAATATTCTACTTGAATTGGACAAGGGATTTTTAATAAAAAAAAAAATGTAACCTCATATACATACTTAAACTTGATGTTAAAATAATCCTACATAATATAATGGAGTCTAATGCATTTAACTGTTCTTAAAAAGAATATAGTATAATAAAAATTAAAAATGAGAATATTTCAAATCGTAGTTAAATAAAAAGTATTATGATCTGAACACCCCCGAAAAACTTTAAATTTATAAATAGAAAAAAAATGCCGTAAGAATTTTTTTACCGTTAACAATAATTTAAAAAAAAAATCCAAACGACATGCATTGAACGGTTGTCAGTTTTCATTAAAAAATACATCCCTACCCCTTACCAAATTGTAGCTAATAACTGATACAATGATACTGACATAAGGAATACCTAGACATCCCTTTTAATTTAATTGCAAAATTAAATTCGGGACTTTTAGCTTCTATTTTTGAAACATGGTTAGAACTGTGTAGCGGAAAAAACATATTTTAAATCAATTAATTTATAATATTATGCTCTGTAAATTTACATTGAGCACTATTTTGTAAAAATAAAATATCTATAAGAACACCGGATTATATATCTTACTGTTCTTTCTTTCTTTATATATATATATATATATATATATATATATATATATATATATATATATATATATATATATATATATATATGTCCCTAACTCTGAGTGTAGCTATCGCTTGATATTGGAACATTCCTCAATTTCAATAGTGCGCAAAAAGAAGGCCCAGTCAGGGATCCACACTCTATACTACATTTTTTATTAACCTGAGTGCAATTTTTGGCTACGGTCAGCCATTGCATCTTTAAACCGATCCTCTGGTTAAAACTGATCCTTTTTGACAAACAATGTCTGTGTTTTAAGCTTTTTAAACCTTGCACTGGACCAGTCACACTCCTTTTGAAAAAAACAAAAAAAACAATCACACCAAAACAGAAAAAAAAAACCAACAAAAAGACGAAAACAAAAAAACGATAGCATTTACGTTCCTTCCCGGCAAAGAAGTAATCTACATCAGTGGGGCAATCGAAATCACAGATTTTATACCAGAATGCCGTCTCCAAGAGTGATGAACTAAAGATTCCGAGTTCATCGCTCCTAGTGAGCCAATCAGGTCACTGACCCAGTTTTCCATATATCTGTACACCACTTTCTCAAGATAAGTAGATAGATAGAAAGATATCAGCAGATAGATAGATAGATAGATATGAATAACCAAAGATAGATAAAAATATATGTGAATAGCTAAAGATAGATATGAACAGACGGATATAGATAGATATATGTATATAGAGAGAGATAGGTAGAGAGACGGAGTTAGATAGATATGAATAAGCAAATATAGATAGGTAAATTGATAGATATATAGATATGAACAAACTAATATTGATAGAGAGAGGGGGGGAGGAAGAAGAAAGAGAGTTATGAATAGATAGATAGATAGATAGAATGAACAAAGATAGATAGATAGATAGATAGATAGATAGATATGAATAACTAAAGATAGATACATGAATAGGTAGCTAGATAGATTGATAGATATGAACAGACTGATATTGATAGATAGAGAGAGAGCGATAGAAAGAGAATTATTAACAGATAGATAGATAGATAGATAGATAGATAGATAGATAGATAGATAGATAGATATTTGAGCCTCCAGCTAGCCAACCAGACACCTAGCCAGCCACACCTCACTGTGAGACGACGACAAGAACTTGTAATAAGGAAAAGGCAGTCAGGCGTATGTCGCCTTGACATCCTATTTCCTTCCTGGTAATTTGAAATTGGTTCAAATTCGCAGGAGCGTAGGAATCTGGCAATGTCGGCCACTGAAGAATCGCTCGATGCAGACAAATATAAATAAACAAATAAATCTTAAAAAAAAATACAGTTTCCGAGAAGGAAATCTGGAGACTTGCTTTACGAACAAAGTTAGACATTCTTTCGTGGGACATCGAGTTGATGTTCTCTAATTAACGGACCGAACCCAGCGGTTAGCGCTCGAACCCACGAAAATGCTGGCATTCTGAACGGTGTTTTTACAAAGTGGATAGATTAGCTTTTTTTTTGTCCGATTTGAAAGACGGGAACCAACAAGCCTTTCACTCCTACCTTGTCCGCTGGCCGAGCAATCTAAACTTGACTTGCGATAACTAGTTTCTTCTCGAAGTAGTCAATATTTGGCCCCAGATAAAAAGAAAAAGGAAGGCTTTCAATGTTAATTTCTATAGACAAGTGTTTTATCCTTAAAGAGGTTACAAACAGACAAAGGTGGTACTTGAATGAAAAGGAACAGCAACACGGGCATAGATGAAAGAAAGAGAGGTTTATTGTACAAGAGAATACACTACTGAAAGACAGGGAATCGGTTAACAAGCTAATAATTCCCGAAGCAAGTCTCAGGTATATCCTGTGCACACTATATATATTTACTGATATAGTCAGTCCACAATAGGCAATAGGGAGAGTGGGACATTCCATTACAAGAATAGGCCTACCCTCACCAACAGAGAAAATCTGTACAACAAATTATTACCAAACTTGGTAGTTCTTGTTTTCCCTCCCGCTAGATTAAACTAAAATACATGATGCAGATTTATACTATGTTTCTAGTTCCAATCGAAATAGTTAAATTCACTTACGCGCAAATTCCCTTGGGAAAGGTATTAATACATCTCTTCTCTAAGCAGCTAAATAGCAGGACAGACTGGATCCTATAGCCTTTTGTAGCATTATGTGTCCGTTCTGGATCCCCACGCAACTATATAAAACGGTATCAACGAAAAGGACGATTTCTTTTTCTTATTCATTTTATTAGGAGAGAGTAGTGGCAGCTTGGATTCTAAGAGGCAGCGGGAGGAATGACGTCCCGGGTCACACATTGGCTCAGCGTCCCTCCGCGGCTGGTCTTAGCCGAGTGTGGGAGGCGTATCGACGCTTCAAATTTCTTTCGGCCTTCTGCTGAAGTCGCGCCGTTTCGGACTTATATCCAAAACCCAGACAAAGGCAATCCATCATTATCAGAATACCACGCTAACGTGGCACTCCGGACAATTGCTAGCCAGTCTGGCCCTGGCCTCGCTATTCTTTTAACATTTATTCGGCCACCAGTCTACTGCAGAAAGAAATGGCAACCTACTGCGGGAAAATAGTCTGCTTAGTCAGTCATGAATCGAAAGAGACATGATCGCCCAAGCTTGTATCACGTATGGCACTTAATTGACAGAATGATCTCTGGATTTGGGAAATTTAATGTATTACGTTGTCTGGAAAATAATGTCCGATTTTAAAATAAACCTTTTGTATTATAACTTCAACCCAAGAAGCTTCTTCCCAGGAACCGCTGCCTTCAGGAACCAACTACCAAGATCAATATCATCTTAACCTGTTCAATTCTAAGTTTAAACGTTATCTTCCGCATCTTACTATGTAACCCTCAACCTCGAATGGCCTCAGGGCCCTGTAAAGGGTGAATTACACTATAAGCAATATATATATATATATATATATATATATATATATATATATATATATATATATATATGTTTGTGCGTGTGTGTGTGTGTGTGTGTGTGTGTGTGTGTGTGTGTTTAAGCAAATATATGATTATAGATCCGACAGTATGAAGAAAAATATACTGAAAAACAAGCAAAAATCCTAATATGCGATTATGCTGTTTTAATGTTTAATGTCAACGTCGGACGTTTCGGTCTAATAGACCATCTTCAAGACATATTCATAAAACATAATTAACATAGACCATATACAATTCAACATGAAAAAGACGATGGACATAAAAGCAATACCAATTCAAACAGATAACTGAAATCTTTTATAAGATCAGCGTTCCGTTTATGTATGATCACATCGTCGTATATTCAGTTAGCGCATTTTTACGCCATTATGGTCACCTCAAACCCTTCATCTCACAAAAGTGATTCATGGTGAAATTCAAGGCAAAATAGTGCATTTGGCTTGTCGGTCCTTTTTGCACCGAAGATGTTGAGGTTAACCCTGTCCGTCCTCTCAAAAGTTAGGTGACTTTCTGAGCTTTCCTTTTCCTAGACTGGTTGACAGCCGAGGCTATAGGACCCAGTATAGCGTTGGGTGGCAACTGGTCTACCGCAGAAAGAAATAGCAACCTACTGCGGGAAAATCTGCCTCGTCAGTCATGTATCGAAAGATACATGATCGCCTAAGCGTGTATCACGCATGGCACATAATTGACTGACTGACTTTCCAGTCGAATCCATTACATTCACTTACGTGTTAATACCCTTGGGAAAAGTGTGAATCTTCTTTTCCTCACCCCCAGCAATAAGTAAATAGTAGGACAGACCGGGTTCTATAGCCTTTGATAGTAACTGGTTTACCGCAGAAATAAATGGCTACTTACTGCGGGGGGGAACTCTGCCTCGTCAGTCATTTATCGAAAGATATATGATCGCCTGAGCGTGTAACACGCATGGCACATAACTGACTGTTTTTCTCTTAGACTGGTTACCAGCCAAGCCATGAGAACCAACACTACTCTACTTTTTAATCCTTATCTAGGTGGAGTAAGTGTAATGTCTTTTGCAAGAAAACTTCATGTCATGTAACTTTTGGTTGTAGTTGATCATGATTCTTCATGGATCCCGTTGCTTTATTTACTAGGAAATAGTCATGACATCTTGGCAAAGATTGTAAAGTGGTTTTCCGTCGTATTTTCTACTGTTTTGAAACATTTCTGTTTTTCCTATATAGGCTGCAAGCTAAGTCTAGTTATCCCGGTCTACCCTGCTATTTCAACTATAACTTAAGTTAGAAGATTGGATCCATATATTTCCAAAAAGCATTGGTGTGATAAATGAAGGCATCTGAACAGATGGGAATTTCGGTTCGGCTCACTTATTCCACTCTACGCCCCGATTAACGTTTACGCTTTGATAACCAGAATAAATCATTCAGTAGGATAACAATTCCGTGAATGGTTTTCACAGAGCGACAAGTCGTATCTTATCTCTTGGAACACATACACACATGGAAAGAGAGAGAGATAGAGAGGTGGGGGAGAGACAGAAAGACAGACAAACAGACATAGAGAGAGAGAGAGAGAGAGGGGGAGGGAGGGAGGGAGGAAGGAAGTTAGAGAGAGATATCTTCGTTATTCTATAGTGGGCATGTAACCATGAAAAATATGGCTTATCTGTAAAACCAATCTAATCTTTTAGCGAGGTGGTAGGTGGGGGAGGGAGTTGACTGACGTGAAAAGTTGTATTAAAGTCAAACCTTTCTTCTCACAAGCGAAATGAAATTTTCGATAGGAAAATATTTTTGTATGGGTTGAAACATTTGCAGAAATGTAATGAAAATTAAACCACTTAAAGAATTTTTCTTTCTTACCAGTGAGCAAATTGATTGAAGCAAAACGAATAATTCCGTTATTATTTTCGTATTTTTCCAATAAAACATGACCCAGTACACATGTTATTACTCCGTATATCCATTCCACGAAGTCGTTCCACAGATTCTCGATTGGATTTAAATCAGGAGAGTTTCCGGGACAGTCTATAGTATTTTGATTTGCTCACTGGTAAGGCTTGCCAGTGTGTTTGTGCAGCGTTACAATTTTTGTATGCTTCCTTAGAGTAGCGTCCATTGCAGTCAATGGCCGTAGGACAACTAATTGACAGTCGAGACAATAGTGTTTGGGCGTGATGAAAATCTGATGCAGTCACAGATGATGCAATATTTTTCAAGGCCAGACAAATTTCATCATACACCCCGAAAATAGATTCATATTACCGCACACCCCTGCAAATGACCTAACCTGGTGAAAAAATAGAAATCGATTACACCCTGTCACTACTGTGGGTCTAAAACTGACCGTATGGTGAAAGTAAAATCGGTTGTTTCAATTAATTTGCACAAAGGTGTATATTCTGAAGTTGTGGTTAGCATGTTACTTTTCGACCTTAAAACCAAGCTTCGACTCTGACCATGGCCAATTATTTTAGGGAGGTGAGGTCTAGGGAGACAAGTGTGTAGAGAAAGAAAAGTTATTTAAATGATTACACTAAAATCTAAAATTCACCGTATGGTGAAAGAAAGGAAACTAAAGCGGTTCTCTCAGTAAATTTGCACAAGTGTGTAAATCTTATCGACATTCTTAGATCATAAAAAATTTGTCAACATTAGATCTAAAGAGTTGGGTTTATTGACGATCTCATGAACTTATTAATGTATAAATGTTAAAATCTTTTATGCAAAAAGGTGGACAGTTGTCACATACTAATGTGGATAGACGAGGTTGACACGAACTAAAATTACTCAAGATAAGTATTAAAGATAAAAAGAAAAAACATTCCAATTAGTGTTAATTTGTATCTTAATGCACTAAATTCATTATATAATTCAGTAAATGGTTATTCTCTCCTACTTTCAATATACACTAATACGCGCCATTGTGTCGTATATGATAACGGGTCATAGAATAAAGATAAATTTACCGCCTTTTTTCTTGTCTTAAAGAAAAGAAAAAAAAAACCTAGAGTGAAAATATTTGTAAATTTTTGACAGTTTTTTATTTTCATATCTACCCTTATCAGTCTTATTAAATTACTTCTCAAAAATATTTGAAGAGTTTCATGATCGTGATAAGGCTTTGTAAAGATCGACGGACTGAAAAGCCTGAGTAATTACCCACGGCACGTGCCTGAGATTAGGCCGAGAAGTGGCGACCATTTGGCTCTCAGCCTTAACTTTAATTATGGATGTATCCGTTATGAGAAGAGCCTATGACTATTTAAAAGATTACGACCAGCTGTTCACACACACACACACACACACACACACACACACACACACACACACACACACACACACATATATATATATATATATATATAAAAGTGGACACTGAAGTCAACACCCAGAGGCGACAGTCAGTTTCCTGTTAAGCGCAATCGTCAGACCATATATTTACATACGGTCTATCCCTGATATTGAGAACTTTAACTCATAAAAATAGTATAATTTAAAACTATACATTATTTTTTTGTGTGTGTGTGTGTGATGTGTGTGTGTGGGGGGGGTAACAGCTTTATTTCGATTTTTTTCAAGGGGTTATAAATAGTCAGGCAAAAACAACTTGTGATTGCGTTTAAGACTGTCGGCTTTGGGCGTTGACTTCACTGTCCACTTTTATATTTACATACGCTCTATCCATGATATTGAGCACTTTAATTCATAAATATAGCATACCTTAATACTATATTTTATCATAAATCTATCTATCTATCTATCTATCTATCTATATATATATATATATATATATATATATGTATGTGTTTGTGTGTGTGTGTGTGTGTGTGTGTGTGTATATACAAAGGTTGCTAATGGTGTGAATCCTCTTCTCCCTCCAGCTATGGGTAAATAGCAGGGCAGACTGGGTTCTATAGCCTTGGATGGCAACTGCTCTAGAAGAAGGACAACTCTGAATTCAAAACCTGCGGAGGGTCGTTTGGGGACCTTGTGGCATGTAGTGCACCAGGTCTCACCTTTTGGCCCTTCAAAAAGTGTGGATGGTCCTGCACGAAACCTTCACTACTATAATCAAATCTCATGTGCTGTTGTCGGGCTGTCAGTTTCCTGGGAACTGATCTGCTTGACTCTCATACGTCGTATTCGACAGGAGAGTCGAGTATATATATAACATGGATTTATTTTTAATCCAATGTTTTTATTACTGGAAACGTTATTATTGTGGGTATTTCGTATTTGAAATAGACGCTCCGTTTTTATTTATTAAACAGTGAATATTACGTCTGCGCATCCGATAATTCATAGTAAAGAAAATGTGTTCCCCGGCAGGAATCGAACGGTGGTTCCCTTACAAGCTTGTTATTGTTAAGCTTCATCCCATAAATATAGCCCACCTTAAGAGTATATATCTTCATATATAAATACACACACACACACACACACACATATATATATGTGTGTGTATTCAAACATATATTGTTAAATGTAACAGACAACGAATGTCTATTATGTTTGATCATGAGCCGTTCTAAGCTTCGTATAGTGGCTTTAGTTTCTGGGAGAAAATAAAGAAAAAAACTGTCCAAAATTTGGATATTTTTTTTATTATGCTTTATCCTCGATCTAAGCTTTCGGCTAACATGGACCATCTTCAGAGTGGTTATATGGACATATCAACAGAGATATTCACCTTCAAAAATGATATCCTATTCTGTTATGTACACTATTAGGACTATTGTCCTCATCTTTGTCGCCATGTTTATCACAACGTTTCGGCCGTTGTACGCTCCGGTCTTCTTCAGGTGGTTGGAATGTCGAACTGAACCCTTTATTTCGCTCACCGGGGTAGACTGTTCTAGTTCCAGGTGCCATGTCTAATGGATGTCAGTTATCTCCTGTTAATTCCCCTCTGAAAGTTCTCCACTGCCTTAACCAGGTATTGAACTCACTCTTTGGGTTCTGTCACTGGATCTAACTAACTCCTTTATCCACTGAGCCATGTGTCCTTGAGGACACAAAGCTGAAGACAATAGTCCGAATAATGTAAGTATTGTACATAATATTCATCTCAGAAATATAAACAGATACTGAAGGGCCGAAATGTTGTAATAAATATGGCGACAAAGATGAGGACAATAGTCCGATAATGTAAATAGTGTACATAATACCTCATCTCAAAAATATAGACAGATACTGAAGAGCCGAAATGTTGTAATAAATATGGCGACAAAGATGAGGACAATAGTCCGATAATGTAAATAGTGTACATAATACCTCATCTCAAAAATATAGACAAATACTGAAGAGCCGAAATGTTGTAATAAATATGGCAACAAAGATGAGGACAATAGTCCGATAATGTAAATAGTGTACATAATACCTCATCTCAAAAATATAGACAGATACTGAAAGGCCGAAACGTTGTAATAAATATGGCTACAAAGATGAGGACAATAGTCCGATAATGTAAATAGTGTACATAATACCTCATCTCAGAAATATAGACAGATACTGAAAGGCCGAAACGTTGTAATAAATATGGCTACAAAGATGAGGACAATAGTCCGATAATGTAAATAGTGTACATAATACCTCATCTCAGAAATATAGACATATACTATCCTGTTATGTTTGCATAGACGTTTGTTATGCGACGATAATGCGAGCCGAAAGCTTAGATCGAGGAACAGCATAATAAAAAAAATATCCAAATCGTTGGACAGTTTTTGTCTTTATTTTCTCCCGAAATTAAAGCAACTATATGAAGCTTAGAACGGCTCATGATTAAACATGGAGAACGTTTCAGTATCCACTTCCACTAGCTAAATAAATTAATGAAACCAAAAGTCAACAAACACCTTCCTTTTTGGAATTTTGCCGCCACACAATCTTCCTTATATTTTCTAAATTCATCATTTTAACTTAGAAAACTAAGCTTGCAACGTCTAAAACGGAGGAAAAAAGAATGAATGAACAGAGAGAGACAAACGAATTTGGGAAAGTTTTACTCTGCGCATATTTTTTTTTCTTAATTCTTTGTCTGCATTCAAAAAAAAAAAAAAAATTTGATGGAGCAATATTACCAGGATTGTTGCAGTAATCACACACCTGTGACTTCGCAGCTTCACTTACCAAATAAGACAAATGCAATTATCCAATCGTGCAGAGGTAAGGAATGGTATTTTGCGGTTGGCAACTGTTAACTGAAACCCGTCCAGCTATCAACTCAATCACGCAAGGATTTTTTTTCCTTAATTAACACCTGTTTTCTTTCTCCCCCCCACCCAGCAAAGTGTCTCTGTTATTTAGCACCACATAAGCGTTGGCCAGACAAGCTTGGTCGGCAACAACACCTTCTCGCATAGTAAGTACACAAGAACACATCAACTGATTACCGTCACTATAGGTGAGACACGCGAGTTAATTCCCAGTTATTTTTGTATTTTCATCGGAAATAAGGAATATTTAGTCGAAGTGGGAGGAAGTGCAAATTTACACTGTTGTTTAGGTTTATATATATATATATATATATATATATATATATATATATATGTGTGTGTGTGTGTGTGTGTGCGTGTGTGTGTATGTGCAGATATGTAGAAAATAGGAAAGAACACGTTAGGTAAATAATCCGGGGTTCTTTAGTATTTTTGTTTTTATTTAAAAAAAAAAAAACAGTGCTCCATACAGAAGTAGAGACACGACTTTTCGCTTAAAGGCTTTCATTCACAAGCGAAAATTTAGGAATTCTATATATATATATGTATGTGTATGTGTGTGTGTGTGTGTGTGTGTGTGTGTGTGTGTGTGTGTGTGTGTGTGTGTGTGTGTGTGTGTGTGTGTCCAAGTGTCCAAATATAAAAGAACGAATAGAATATTTCATCCCATCTAGGAAGTATAGGGTTAAGTCGCGCTCCTGCCCCTGGTTCTCGGCTGCTTGCTCAGCCGCCATCGCCCATAGGAACCACTACTTCCACCTATACCGTAGCGACATGTCTGACTGCAATAGACGTCTCTTTGCTGCCGCCCGTAACGAATGTAAGCGTGTCCTCAATGATGCTAAGTCACTATTTGCGGCTCGAATGAAGGAACGTATTGCACCTCGAAAATTTGGTTCCAAAGATTATTGGCGTCTCTGCAAGAGTGTATTGAATAATTGCAAACCCTCTATACCTCCTCTATTCAACCAGTTCGAAGTCTTGACCTCCTCTACCGACAAGGCTGAATGCTTTGCTCGGAAATTTTCATCCAACTCGACGCTCGACTCTTCTGGTGTACCCATACCCGACTTCCCTCTTAGAACTGAGGCCATATTGAGTGGGTTAAACATAACCCCAACTTTGGTACTGGGCGTTATCTCCAATTTAGATCCCAACAAAGCGAGTGGTGGAGATGGGATACCAGCCATTGTCTTAAAGAAATGCGCGCCTGAACTGGCGCCCGCCCTTTCGAAACTATACAACTACTGCCTCAAGGAATCTTGTTTTCCTGACTGCTGGAATTACTCTTCGATCGTTCCTGTCTTCAAGAACTCTGGCGACCTCTCTGACCCTTCCAACTACCGTCCTATCAGTCTCCTTCCCCTCTTCGGCAAAATCTTCGAAGCTCTAATCAATACCGGGGTGGTTAACCACCTCACATCCCATAATCTGCTCTCAGACAAGCAATATGGTTTCCGCTTTGCCAGATCTACAGCCGATGTGCTCACAGCCATCACGGAAACAGTCTACCGAACTCTCCAAAATAACGGGGAAGCCCGAGCCGTGGCACTAGATATCTCCAAAGCATTTGATAGGGTTTGGCACGCCGGCCTTCTCCGCAAGATCCAGGGTTATGGCATTACGGGTCAATTATATAACGTAATACAATCATTCCTATCAAACCGTGAATTGAAGGTCGTTCACAACGGATTCTCCTCCAGTTCCTATCCCACGAACGCAGGTGTTCCTCAAGGCTCCATCCTAGGCCCCACTCTATTCCTTATCTATATAAATGACCTTCCTGACGCCGTAACTTCTCAAGTCGGCATCTACGCGGATGACACCACAATTTATTCCTGCCGCAAAAACAAATCCAGTCTCGCTGACAAAACTCACCTTGCCGTGCGTCTCGAAAAGGACCTCCAATCGATTGTGAACTGGGGCATGATTTGGCTGGTCAACTTCAACGCTTCGAAGACAAAACTGCTCTCTATTAATCACCACAGAGAGCCTTCCCTTCCCTCCATTACAATGTCTGACGCTCAACTTCTCGAGAGCAACTCTCTGCGGCTTCTCGGTCTCACGTTGACTGCTGACCTGAGATGGAATAAATACATCGAGTCAATTGCCTCGTCCACTGCGAGGAAAGTTGGCTCCCTGAGCCGCGCTAGGAAGTTTTTCTCCCTGAGTCGATCCTCCAGATATACAAATCCACAATTCGCCCTTGCATGGAGTATTGCTGCCATATATGGTCTGGCGCCCCTTCTGTTTGCCTCGGGGTTCTTGATAGGCTCCAGAAGCGGATATGCAATATGGTTGGCCCTGCCCTGGCGTCTCGTCTACAGTCACTTTCTCACAGACGCACCGTCGCCTCCCTCTGTCTGTTCTATAAATACTTTCATGGAAATTGCTCCGAGGAACTGCATTCGCTGGTTCCCAAACTTCATGAGTTCAAGCGCCCTACGAGGCTGGCATCCCGCTCTCACCCCTTCACTGTCGAAACTCCTAAATGTAGCCGTCTCTTCTACTAATAGCTTCATGTCTCGCACCTCTCGCCTGTGGAACTCTCTTCCCTTTTCCTGTTTCCCTGAGAGTTATAATCTCCAGCTATTCAAGTGTAATGTCAATCGACATCTCCAGTTGCCTTAATCTATCTACTACCCTCATCCTTTCTTCTATCACTCCTATCTGCTCTTCCTATTTTCTGTAACCCCTTGCGTCCTAGTGGCTCCCCGCCTTGCTTGGGGTGAAATGCTAAAAAAAAAAAAAAAATACAAATTCAAACGTTCATAAAATTCTGGGATCAACAACTTTTCATATCTTATTTTCTTCTCTTTCCTTTTCATTTGTATCTGTAAAATTTTGGATATAATCCTCTCCTTCTTTTTCCTTTTTTTTTTATTTCTTATGCTTTTATATGTCTTTCCTTTTTTCCTTTCTTTCCGCTTTCTTTTTCTTTTTATTGATTTCTTATTTTCTTTTCCTTTTTTACTTTAATATGCTTTCTTCTTTCTTTTCCTTTTATGGAATGAATAATTTTTTTTTATATATTTTTTTCTTTGCCTTCTATGGAAAATTTTCAAAACTGTGAAAAAAAGAAGTGATGTTTAATAAATTGCATTTTAAATAAAATCGTTTATTAACACCATTGATAGCCGTCTGACGTCGAAATAAATATGCATTTTTGTCTCAGTAACTTTCATTTTCCAATGTAATAGTTTATAATATATATATATATATATATATATATATATAAAAATATATATATATATATAAATAAATATAAATACATATATATATATATATGTAATTATTATATATATATTATTTATATTTTATATATACGCGGTACTTATTGGAAAGCGGTCAGTATCAGCGATAGAGCTTACATATATATATATATTTTTTTTTTTTTCAGTTATCTGTTTTGGATAAGACTTGTTTTTTATGTCCATCGTCTTTGTCAAATTGAACTGAATTGTATTTTAATGAATATTGTCCCGAAGAAGGTTTATTAAACCGAAACGTCAGACGTCGACATTTCATTCATTTTAAACAACATAATTGCATTTAAGGATTTTTTGTTTTGTTTTTCCAAATTTTTCTTCTATATATATATATATATATATATATATATAATATAAAATAAAGTTTTTTATTGACTTGATTACGCGTTTCAGCATCATTAAATAGCCTTCCTCGGATCAGAACAAAAGAAATAAGTGTGTGTGTGTGTGTGTGTGCATATTTGTGTCTACATCATTATGAAATCGTTAATAACTTTTTCCGTCCGTCGGTAGGGATGAAAGAACGAAATTGTGTGGCTTTTGTATAAAAGCCGATATTTTGATTTATGTTCTTTTTTTTTCAATTTTCTCGTTTTGTCGAAATTTAAGGATTTCATATTGAAGTACGAACACAAACTCACACACACACACACACACAAATACACACACACACACATACACACACACACATTTCCTTCTTTCTGATCTGAAGTAGCCCCTCTAAAGATGGTGAAACTCCTAATCCAGTCAATAAAATCGTTTTTCTTTTGTCAAAATTTATCAACTTTGTCTGGATTCATGTCAAACACACACACACACACACACACACATATATATATATATATGTACTATTATAATAAAAACTTGTTATAAACAGCTGCATAAATGCACCTATAGTGCTGAAACATCACTGCATTTATGTAGCGGTTAATAACAAGTTTTATTAAATTTTAATATAATTTTATATATATATATATATATATATATATATATATATATATATATATATATATGTGTGTGTGTGTGTGTGTGTGTGTGTGCGTACGAGGCGATGCAAAAAAAGGTTCTTAGCCCGACCAAGATAAGGAAACTCAATTAGTCAGTTAAGCTCCATACGTGATACACACTTGGGTGATCATCTCTCTTTCCATTCATAGTAGGTTAAAAACAAGGTCTCATCAATGTCCCGTTGAATTGGCTAGAGATGTAACTGTAGATCCTATGCTGTTTATTTTCTCGATCTTCTCGCTTTACAGCCAACTTTGACCTTCAAATATTTCAATGTAATATCTATCGTCATCTACTGTTTTCCTGATTACTCTTTTTTTCTTTTTCTTTTACATTCAGCAACCTCTTGTGCTTTGGTCGCTTTATTGCCTTGCATGGGGTGAAAGGATTAAAAAATATTCACATCAGTTACCATAGTCTGGCAGAAGGCGATAATAGATGAGCGCTTAGCGATGAACAATCTCATTAATAATGTTCTCCAAAATGAACATCTTAACTATTGCTCTAGGACAAGCGTATTTT